CTAGGGCTAAATTTGGCAGGCAGATTTGCTCTAAACTTTGGGACTAAGAGGAAGAGTCTCTCTTACTCCTTTTAATCTTTACCTTTTTTTTCATCCTCAGCCTCCACAGAGATAATTTTTGTCAATTTTTAGATTAGTCTGATTTTTCTCTGTATGTTTTAACCATCTAGTTAGCAGTAGAGTGAACCTTGCCAATGAGCTTTGTCATGCTTTCACTTTAATATTAAACCTGCTTTTGCCAGTGATTGTTTGAAAAACCTAAGATGCCCACCTGTGACAGATTTCTGTGTGCAGTTCCATGTAGGTAAATTAGATTTGTGCCAAGGAAGACTTCATATAGTTTCTGCTATGCTTATACTAATGGAACTAACTTAATTGCGTGGAATTGGTACTGCTAAAATAAATTGAATTTAAAAATTTTGAAGATCTTGAAAAGTATTATTATAATTAAATGTAAGCATTTGCTTTGGTTTTAAAGTGCCAACTCTTGACCGAAAAGCTTTTATTGTATCATTACTATGCACACTGTCCATCCTTTTGAAATAAACAAAAGTCAGTATTTTCTTTTGAAAAAAAGATTTTAGGTATGCCATTGATTGTCATTATTGCCTTGTTTGTGTCAGGATACAGACTCTGGCAGGTGAGTTGTGTTGTGTCAGGGAGTTGTGTCAACTGTACAGATTTTGCCGGATTTTGAGGAAGGAAGGAATTTATTTTGTTTTTTAGTCCTTTTGCAGCTATTGTTGATAGCATTAAGTGAAGAGAGCAACAGAATTTTTTTTGGAGGATGCTTACTCAGTTTACACAGTGCTGTAGTACATTCATTATGCTCATAGGTAGAAACAACTGTCATACCAAATAGAGTTATCAAAATCACATATCTGTACATATTGGTGCCTCAGCTGTTCTGCCTTCAATGGCTGTCTCTGGTCAATTTGTGAAGAGTCCCATAAACCTGAATCCAGATGTGGTCTGTTTTCTACATTTGTCATCAATCATGGTTACGGTGTCTTGTAGTCATGCAGCTCTATGTTCCTGCCTGTCTTTCCGTAAAGCAGTGCTGGAAGAGCATCAGATTTCACAAGGAATTTGTAATATCCAGATTTACTGGATGGTATTATTTGCAGTGTTGTATCTCTGTGTGGGAAGTCTATAAGGAAATGCTCCCTGCTCTCAATGTGGGTTTAATCCCTTCTGATCAGGATTTATGAAAACTAATTAGGAGCCAGTTTGGTCCCCAGTGAAGCTAGAACTGAAACTCCTTTCAGTGATGTGGATGGAATCCCTGGTATGTCACAGTTAGTTTTATTGTAGAGGATTCTGTTGGAATGAGATGAGCCTAATCTAAGGGAAACTACTCACTCTTTATCCAAATATCTCCATATGTTGAGTACACAAGCAGATTTTTTTTTTGTATTAATGAATGAGTAATTACCAAAGTATCAATGATAGTAATTAATTGTTAATGATATTCATTAGTGGCTTGGATTATCTTAGCATGGAGAGCTTCCATTAAGTTGTGTTCACAGTTTTTATAGAGCAGTATTAAGGTGGTTGTTCAATAACGATGAAATGAAAATAAGAAATCTGTGAATTGCCATTTAACAATATGATTTTGCTAAAATCATATTTTGGATGTCCCAGCCACAGGAGACTGATAACAGAAAGACCTAAGGGAAAAAAATACACCTTACCAGCAAAGGATTACATCTGTGTTCTTTCAGTTAGTAATATCACTACGAGTATTATAGAGAAATGGTTTTTCTCTACCTGTAAAATAGTGTCGCTTATCAGAAAAAAAAAAAATCCAGAAATTAAAAAACGTAGTAATTTAACATTTATTAGCAGGTTTAGACATTAACTGAGTGCTCCTCTATGCTGCTGAGTCTGTTTACAGTGAAATGCCTTGGGCCAGCACTAACCAAAGGACACTTTAGAAGATGGGTCTAAGGAGTGGACCAAGCTGCTGGTGTATCTGTACACTGCTTAACTCTCAGAGCAGCTCCTGGCTCATTGTGCAAACTGAAGTCTTCAAGCAGAGTGACAAGCAAATGCCCAAGTCAGTCCCCTGAGGTGCAATTAGAGCAGGACTGTGGCTCCTGCAGTGTCCCTGAGTGCACTTTGGGAATGCATGGTCCAAGGCTGTGCAAGCTGACACAAAAAAACCAGGGCTACACCAAGTGAAAGAATAACAGAGGACAAAGGGAGTTGAAATTTTTTCTTTATACACTATGGCACACTTACTGATGAAGATTAAATATGAGGTGGAATTTCTCAGTAGTTTGAGTGCGAGATAGAAGCTTTGAAGTTGCATGGAAAGTGATTCTGCTGTGCTGCTTCAGAGCATATAATCCTTGAGTTGGTATTTTAATGATGTATCTCTTCACTTCTAGTTAAAAAAGACATATTGAATATTTTGTTCTGTGTCAGGTGAAGTATAAAGAAAGAATTACAGGGATTGATGTCAGTAACACAGTATTTTAAAAGTGTAGAAAGAAACCTCAACCCCCAATATTCAGATATTTATGTTCCCTTTTATGTCATCCACCAAAATAGATAATGCAGACCATGTAAAACCAAGAGTTTTATTTCCTGTGAATATTGGTTTTATTTCTTTCTTTTTCATAATAACCTTGTTCATGCAATTGTCTCTGACTGCAGTTGTCTCTGACTGCCAGTTTTAGTAAAAATATGTAATTAAATGTTTTGGTAGGCAAGATAATATTTATATTTACTGATGGCATGGCATCATAAACTAACTTTAAAATGATTATCAAGCTCTCAGAGAATAAATTGTATTAACATAATATTTTGAGTAGTAACATTAATTAACATGAGACACAATATTGATGGATAAATATTCAAAATAGACAAATGAAAGTGCACATTAGACCAATAGATTAGTATCTTCAAGCATATGACATTAAATAAATGTGCATTTTTCTATGAATAAATTAATAAAATGCAAGACTCTTGCTGTAGAGAGACAAGTCTGAGATGTTACTGGAGAAGTATATACATAAGGCTGAGTGATATTAAAATGAATAAAAGGTTGATTACCAGTTTGAATACCTGTTCTGTCCCTCATGCTACTCTATCAGTATTTCATGGAGCATGTGATGCCATTGACTGTGCTACATACAAAGAAGAATTCAGTAAGGGATATTGGAGTAGAGTTTATAGTGCTTCTAAAATTCAGGAGCAAGGGTGGCTAGAGGTATATTTTACTATTTTAAAACATTTTCCTTCATAGGTCACTTAAAACAGTGACACAGCTCACAAAGAAAAGCCTTACACTGCTTCTTAGAAAAGCAGTCAGCTCATGTATAGATAGGGAATTGTTCCACTAATCAGAGAATTTAAAATGTCTTTGTCTAGATTCTGAGGAAGTTTGCCATATACCACTATCTGGTCCCAAGGGGGCTGCAGGCAGATGAGGTCTGTTCAGACTGATCCACTCCTCCTCAGTTCTGTTAAAAGTGACGGTCTGTCGGAACTTTTAGTTCAGCTGTTCAAGCCAGTGGCTATTCTTGGATCTTAAAAAACATTACATCTATGTTCTTAACTATCACATGCAGAAGACATAACTACAAGCTTTGCTAGCACTAAGTAAAGCTCACCAGTAAATTTATTTGATTTGTTATACATACTATGTTTTCTGGAGACATAAGTGTAGGCTAATACCAGTGTGTGTATCTTCTGGGTAATGAGTTCAGCTGCAGTGCTTCTCTATATTGCAGTGCCTTTACGCACCCCTTAAGTCCTATCTTTCAAGTGTAAAATATGCTAAGATACAAAAAATAGTGTATTTTTTCTCAGTATCTGAATCTTCATTTGGTCAAAGTGGAAATATTGCTCAGCTGTACATTAAATTTTTCCTTGGATACAAAGATATCCGGTGTTCATGGGAGTCTGGCAGTGACATTATTTTGGATACAGCTGTTGACCTAGCTGGTTTGTATCTGGAAGGAAAGATGGATTGTGCTGTGACTGGGGTGACATCAGGCAATCAGCTGCGGAGACTATTACCCCCATATCTTCTGCTCCTTTCCTAGTATGTCTGTTTGCCCTTTGCATCTCTAAGTACCTGCACAGATTTTACAACCTTTATCCTTACAATCTTTAATGACTTACATTAGAAAAGAAAGCCTTTTCAAGCTTATCAGATTACTATTCCAGATCTAGGAAGAGACTTTTCTGAAGATTTTTGTAGCTATTGTATCTGAATTAGATGTCTTATTTTTTAGACATTACCTGATAAGATAAAGAAGACTATTTCCTTTCTAAGTTGCACTTGATGGAATACATAGAGGTATTGTGTGTGCCTATATACAGATTGGTAAAGAGCTTCTTGGCATCTGTTTGAGCCTTATAATATTTATTTTGTTGTATGCTCTTACGGTAAATTGTTTAGGATTTTTAACATTTCTTTAAATTAAAGTTCTCAAAATAAATAGTGAGTGTCTAGTGAATATATTTTGTAAAAAATATTTACCTACCAAACGGAAAAAAAATAGGGAATAATTGAAATCTGTGCCACCATTGCAGAATCTACTTTTGAGAGCCAATTTGTTCTTTGCTCTAATTACTCTGCCTGAAAGAACAACAGAATGAAGACACTGAGGACATGTAGGGTTCAGTCCAAAGATTGTACTTGAGGGTATGTAATGAAATCTTGCAGCATTAGTACTTTTGTGAAAGATATGAGAAAGAGTGCAGGAAAAGCATGATTTGTATGCTTTATTTTCTGATATGTTTAATCTATACACTTTCATTTTTGTCCTACAAGCACAGAATTTCATCTTTCAAAAGCAGAAGAAACCAAAATGGGCTCTTTTTCCAAGCTGTGAAAGGAAACAGATTTACGACTGGCTAGATCTGTGAGGAGAAAAAACTTTGAAAAAGTAGACCATCAAAAGTGAACTTCCAAAGTGCCAGTGTGCATGCTGACTCCTGAGAGTCCTGGCTCAAGTGCAGTTGATGACTTTGCAGGGTAGGGCACTGGTAAAATAACTTGCTTTTTGTAGCAGAATTCCCTGTGTAGGAGTTACTTGTCTTTACCAGTTAAGTTTCTGAATTCACAGAATTGGAAGAAGACACTGCTCAAAGTTTTCTGGAAGATTGGAGTTGGAAGAGAAAACTCAGGAAAAAATGTGCTTCCATATTAAGAGTCCCTCTGAAACAGAGACATGTTTAGACATTCATATTGGCCTTCCCCTCCCCGTGGAGCCTGTTGTTCCCCTACTCCTTCTCTAGGCTCCATCTCTTTCAGCTGTGCTGACTCAGCTGTTTGTTGGACTGTGCTCCTAAACAGTTCTCTGAAATAATCTAGTTTAAAAAGAAACACATTTCTGGTTGAAAAGTATGTATTTCATTTCAGTGGTACACTTTAGAATGTAGCCAGAGTAACAGCCAGACTATCAGAGCTGAATGGACAGAGACAACAGATTGGGAGTACGGAGAGCAGACGAAGGGGATCAGAAAACTTTTCAAGCACCCTTGCACCATTCCAGATTCCTATGCAAAAATGACCCTACAGAAAACCATAAGGACAAGATTTTCTTATCTTTGATTTAGTTGTAGTAATGTGCTCATTAGTACAATTCTTTTCCCTTGATTAATTTTGTATAGTTAATGCACAATATTTTGTAAAAATTTCGTTGGCAATGCTTATAACAGACACAATATAAATTCTTGAGAGTATTCCAGGTGAATCTAGAATTTAGCAAAAACTGAGCAGCCAAACATTCTCAGAGACTCTGAGTTCATTTACAGTGCTTCAATTTAGTAGTCAACCAAGAGAAAAGTTTTCACCCAGACATATTTCTAAAAGTCACAGTTATTGAATCTGTGTGTCTAGTAAATGTGAAATATATACACCAAATTTCAGATACATACACACAGATAATTTCAAAATAATTACTGAGCTTTTTCCATAAATAAAGAAAGAAATCCTCTTTATTCCATGCTGAAGTATGGGGAAAACATTTTTGTCTGCCTAGTGGCAAACTTCACCCCAGACATATATATCATTAGCTTATAGAGCACACAAGGCCACATTTAAGAAAGTAAAAGATTTATCAGATATGGCTTTACCATTGAAAATGTCACTTTACTCTGAAAAAGCCATGAAATATATCATCCAGAACAAATTATTAACATTGACAATAATTATTAACCCTATAGAAAGAAATATGGCTTATGTGTATATACTTGATATCTTGCTACAAAAATAATTCCATTCCTTTGGATACCATAGCACTATTATGATACAATAACAGAACAAAAGCATTGTAAGAAGTGATTGCAGCAGCCAATTTCAAATATATTTGCTAGTTTTACCATATTACATATGCAGAAAGGCAATATTCTCTTTTGTCTTCCAGCTGCCATTTCTTGCTATGAAAATCAACCAAATTCTGCATCCACAACAAATGCTCAACAGGTAAAACAGATAAAATTACAGCAATCAACCATATTAATAGATTATCATCTCATATTATCCCTTAAAAAAAAAAAAAAAAAAAAAAAGGCAAACATATTTGTTTTTCACAAGAAATCCCCTAAATCTTCCAATTTTATGTTTTGCTTTTCTAAAATTCCAGAATGTGAGAAATGGGACACTTGGGACACTAAAGAACATGTACCTTTATAACTGAATCATTTCATCATGAGTCTCCTACAGTAGGCAGAAACTGCACTTTAAATGAGACATACAGCATGACAGCATTCATCAGAACTTATTTTGTTGCTAAGATGTGTATTTTAACATTTTCAAGGCAGTTCTCTATTTCTGGATTATCAAATATCAAAACCCTCAGATATGTTTTAGAATCCCCACCCTCTGTATATACTTAACATTAGAAGAAACTATATTAAATGTATAACCAGGTATGTACAGCTGTATGTTTCTCTTCTGTGGTGTTTGAGGTAAAGAAAACTTATATATGCTTCTGTTAAAGGTTTTTATTAAAATTGACTTTGTTTTACAGTTTAGCAAACTCTGCAGGTAGCCTTAAGAGCCTGCTCAATTCTTTATCATTAATTCAACAACCAGATCTTCTTCCTGCCATTCCCTGGCAGGATTAATGGATTTTGGCATGATTTGTGTATTTAACAGTGAAAGCTCTTGCTGGGTAAGCTAGCAAGCTTGACTAATTCTCAGTTGTGCTAACTTCATAAACCTATTTTAAGGTTTTAACTTTGACTAAAGATTAAAGATAGTGACACATACTGCTACCTTTGAATGTATCTAACATGATTATGGATAATAAGTGTAACTAAAACATCAAATATATATTATATGGTACGTGCAAATATATGCATGGTGCAGATATTTTTCAATATTTTGCGGTTTAAAGTGAGAGTCTACAAAACAGTTGACCTACTAATACTAAAACACCTGCATATATTTAAGTGCTTGAAATATTAAATACTTTTTAATTACAGAATTACTAAACTCTGTAACAGGAACAGATCATTTGTATTTTGAAACAACTTACACCTGAATCAGAAAAGTGAGCAATTTATTTTATTTGATCTAAAGCTGGCTTTCTCAGCAAACCCATTTTAACCCATCAAACATTCCAATTTCTATTGTTTTTTTCACCTTTTCAGACAATCCTAGAATCAGTATTCAGGAAAGCTTGAAGAAAGGAGAAAAGAGAGGAAAAAATATTTTCAGCCTGTCTGACAAGACTACATAAAAAGCTTGTGATCAAAGGATCTTAAATACACGTTACTGGTGTGACAAACAACATTTTTGTCCTTTTATTAGATTTATTTTCCTTCAGAAAACTGGAATGGCCAGAGTATAGTTTGTGAAAGAAAGCTGGCAGGGTTGTATTCTTTGATTCCTAATTAACACCTTCAGTCTCAAAAGAGAACTAACAGAAATACCATAAAATGTTGCAGCTGCATTGTTATTCCGCTTGGTTGGTTTGTTAAAAGTCGGCTGGGCATTGGCAGCTGCAATAAAGGAGAAGCTCAATGGATGTTTTGTATTGTGCCCAGTGAAGTGAAAGAAGGCAACCATTTTATTTTCAAATGGGCAGCTGCATAGTGATGTTTAAATGGAGCTAAATGTGAGATTTACTGTTAATTTATAGTAATTGGTTATAAATAAAGTGGCCATATAGCTTGGCTTTCATCTGTTAAAGCCATAGAGCACAAACTGAAGGGGAATGAGTTATGAAGGGTAAAAAGTGAAGGGTAAAATACTAGAGTAATGAAAAATGCAGTTACGTAGAAGGAGCAGTGGTGTTCATCTTTGCAATGTGATGCAGCATCCACCTTGGAAGCAAGTGGTCAAGCCTTCTTTAGATAGTGCTTTGAAAAGTAAAAATAGACATCGCTTTGTCGCAATGTAGAGGAAACCAATGTTTTAATGCCGGGGTTAGAACCAAGTGCAGCTCTTCCTGGAAAGCATAGGCTTGTATTTTCAGTAGTATAATAAATGAGATGTTTAACTCTGGTCAGATAAATCTCACTCACATTCAAAAAATGCAATTAGGGAAATATGTAAATCTAGATGTTTCATCAAATGCTAGCTAAGAGGTTACCAGTTCTTTCCTTGCACAATGACTGAACTAAAGAACTTCAGTGTCTGTGTAAGAACCATTGTCCCAGCCCCAGAGCCCGTTGGAAACCGAGTCCAGACTGGTCGTGGGAAATACCTACATATTTGACACAGGCCCCATTTCTGAGAGAAAAGGGGGTGGAATAGAAAGTATGGAGATTTTACTGTTGCATTCTAATCAGCCATGATCTGCCTAATTTGCTTTGATCAGGAAGATAAACTAATTTTCCTATAGGCTAGATAGAAGTAATTAGCAATCCAATGCCTTCATGCTTTTGTAAAGGGTAAAGAAAAGAATAGCAGAAATTATAATGGTGAGAGCAAAGCCCTTTTCGGCTCATCTGAAAACATTGTTAATTGAAAATAGGATGGTGCCATAGGAGAGAGGCCCTGATTAAGGTGCTTTTTTGGGCTGGGATATCATTGTTCACCATGATCTATAATATTACGCAGCAACATGTTTCTGAAGACTAATTTCACATGAGTTTTAGTATATCTAGCTTCTGTTCTCTTTTATGGAAAAAGCATATTCCATGTAAACAGTACATCTGTCATTCTGAGAGGATGGTGTTTGATTTCACAAGGCATTTTAATATCTTTTTCCACAATTGCATTAGAATTATTCAGTGGTTCATTAATGCCAAATCTGCTGCTGTCATAAGACTTCAAGATGAGGGCTTCTGAGGCCATAATAGTGAAATTAAAAACTCTGTAGCCATGGCCAAAGCCAAATTACTGGATATCCTAGTCTCCTAATTCTGTTAGGTAACAATTGCATGGTTCTGTGGGCCTGAACTGTGACTGTTAGCTTAACATATGTACTGTGGTGTAGTATGCCTCAGCTGAGTTTCCTGGGAGTTGTCACTCCTCCTTGGCTTTGGCCATTCTACTTCAGTATAAATCAAGATGTCTTGCAAAAGTTTCACAGTAAATCCCTTAATATGCAGGCATAACGGAATGGCTCCTTTATCCAGGCAAACTACTCATTCAGATCTTACTGAATTCCATAGGCTGCAGAATCCCTCATTTTTAATATCTGTTTTCCCCTACATTTCTTCATCTTTATATGAATTAATTAGTTCAACAGGCAGTCACAACCAACTTTCTGTCCACCTTCCTCTTTATATTTTCAAAGTTTTATTTAAAAAGTCAGATAAGTTTAAGGACTGTATTTATCATTTATGTTACAGTTGTATTGCAGTCCACAACCATAACTGGGATTGTGGATCCACTATGTCAGGATCAGCTAAAGTATAGTTTCAGGCTCTATAAAAGCTTCCATAGGAAAAAAAAAGAAAAGCAGCTATTGGTGATGAATGGGAAAAACATTTTATGGTGTGGATAGAGAAACAGGGGCATGTGTTCTATCTCAAAGACGCTCCTATTAAAAAAATAATATCCTTTAAAGACAGAGTTTGGAAAATTAATTTCCCCTGCCAGCAAGATGCATTGAATAGTATTTGCAGGAAAAATAAAAACTCTGTTCCTGTATGATAGCAGTCTTAAACTGAGGTATATAATAAATTTTTCAGTTGTCTTTCTACATCCTAAAATACTTTGACATTGTGATAATCTGCAGTGTTTGTATTCCAACATATGATGGCAAAAGCTATCTTAGTTTCCATGTGAAAACATGGTAACAAAAATTAAAACTGATGTAAGAGTTATAAAAAAAGTAGAAGCATTCATTGAAATAGCACAGAGAGCTGTGTTTAGCCTGGGAATATTTATTTGTTTTGCCTAAGGAGGCAGCACCGCCTCACAGATAAAGCATTGATTTGATATTCAAACCTGTATTTTCATTTCCTTATTGCATTGCTTAGTGCCACAGCAAAACTGTCTTCTACACTACAGTCTCCTCAACTCTTACTTAGCAGTTACCTCTTTATGTTGTTCCTTGAAAAGTATTACATAATTGAATATTGCTGTACAAAAAGTGCAGGAGGGAAAAGATAGCAAGTACGTAATTCCCCCCACCTGTTGGCAATAAATATCCTTCTTGCATATGGGTGGGCAGAAGTTGCTCCCCTGGCCCTCTCAAGAGAAGACATAGCAATTCTGTTTTAGACTTTTGAATTACATCACTTTTTCTGTGGGATATGAGATAGAGTTTAGATTCCTACAGCTGTTATTCTCAAACCTGAGGAAAGACTGGAGATTGCTTTTGTGCCTCTTTTTCAGGTGCACAGAAATTAGTTTCCTAAATCCTTAGAGTTTTTTGGCATGAAAAGCCTGAGGAAATCGGACTATCTGTTACTCTTACAGGAGGAAAACACTGACTCTAATTATGAATGTCCTTTTTCCATAGTGTTCTGTTCACTGTGAGGCTGAGCTATTACCGCTCTCTTGTGCTAATATAAAAATAGACAATTATCAAGATGGTGCAGAAAAACACTTTTACATGTTTCACAATTTTGCAGTATCACTCCTAGTCCTAAAGAATTCAACACGTGTATGAAGTCAGATCTATGTAGACTTTTTTAGGAAGATATGTGTGAGCTCTGCCCTTGTTTTGAGCCATCTGGAAACCATCAGCAAAGCACTGAGCCTGACCTTACCTGAACACTAACCTTACCAAAAAGGATGGTTTTTATCTGGAGACACCTAAGAAACTGCATGGGAGAAATACTTTTTCCACCTCATTGGGCCTAAAGGAGTCTGAATACAAGATTGAAACCTACATGAAACTGGACTCTCTAAGCTCTGCTTTCAGGAAACACATTCTGATTTACAGAAATGAAAGATTTTTAAACTGTTTTAATTGTTGTTATAGCCTAAATTGCATTCACTTTCATTAGGGTTTTACTAATTTTTATTAAGTCCTCCTTACTAAGTTTTCTGTATTTCTAGAAAGATCTACCTATTTATATTTTATAAAAGAAGGCCCAACAATCAAGTCACAAGTCTTAAAATGTACTGACAAAAGTAAAGGCAGCTTCTCACTTTTCCATGTAGAGAAAACTAGTTTCTTTCAGTAAAAGAAAAGCTTGAATAACCAACCAGTAGACTTCTGATGTCAGAAAACTTGTATTGATGCAGATTAGGAATCAGATTTCTTAATTTATTTTCCTTATTCTACCACTAGTATAAATATTGTGCCTACATTTTGTCTTCTAATTTAGTTGGTCACCTATACCTGCTTTATGTATGCCATGTAAGACACTCCAGGATATCTGGGGTGTCTCCATGGGATACATATGATATGGGCTCTACAGGAAGTGCATCCTCTACTGTGCAAACAGCATTGGTTGGAGGCAGGCAAGAGACCTCAAGTGATGAACCACAGCTAAAACAATCTGGCAGTTTAGTTTATTTTAGTCAGCCCAGAGCCATGGCATGGTTCCCCCAGAAATCTTAAAGACACACAGGGAATTGCCGTATTGTTAACACAGTAACCTGTGTGATGGGGGAGATTTGGAGTAGAAAATACCTTTTTCAATTTGTGTGACAAGCTTCATATGAAGCTGGGCTGAGTGTGGATGATCTGTTATGCCATATCCAAGTTGCAGAGAGTTTTCAAATTTCAATTACAATTCAAATTCAATTACAAATTCAATTTCTGCAGGGAGGGAGGGAGGAAGGGAGGGAGAGAGGGAAGGAAGGAAGGAAGGAAGGAAGGAAGGAAGGAAGGAAGGAAGGAAGGAAGGAAGGAAGGAAGGAAGGAAGGAAGGAAGGAAGGAAGGAAGGAAGGAAGGAAGGAAGGAAGGAAGGAAGGAAGGAAGGAAGGAAGGAAGGAAGGAAGGAAGGAAGGAAGGAAGGAAGGAAGGAAGGAAGGAAGGAAGGAAGGAAGGAAGGAAGGAAGGAAGGAAGGAAGGAAGGAAGGAAGGGTGTGACTAAGCTTCTCCCTTCCAAAAGCACTAGTGGAAAGGGTAATCTTTGTTTGTCATGGTGAGGATTTACCAATGATCCCCAGGCTATGGATCCTTGACATTTACAATAAGCTTTCTAATATGGTGGAAAGGTCTATTTGTTCAAACAATGAGATCTGTCTGAATTGGGGGAAGTTTGACAGGGGTCTGAATTTTTTTTTCTTTTAATATTGAAAAATTTGACTAGCATTGCATTACTGGCATCTCAGACTTTGCCTAGGGTCTCCAATGTGCGATGTTGTTCTGATTTTCTTCTTTTCTTTGGTGTCTAGACATTTTGACCATACTATTTCAATAATAATAATAACAATAACAATAATAATAACAATAATAATAATAAAATGCCTTGTTTCTGTCAAAGTAGCTCATACCTTGGATCTGGTTTAAGCTATTGGAAAAGAAAAGAAAAGAAAAGAAAAGAAAAGAAAAGAAAAGAAAAGAAAAGAAAAGAAAAGAAAAGAAAAGAAAAGAAAAGAAAAGAAAAGAAAAGAAAAGAAAAGAAAAGAAAAGAAAAGAAAAGAAAAGAAAAGAAAAGAAAAGAAAAGAAAAGAAAAGAAAAGGAGAAAAGAAAAAAGAACATAATAAAAATGTCCTTGAGATGCAAGAGCAGCCTAAAAAATGTTTGTGTGTGTAGGAGGCACAGGTTTTGAGGGTTTAAAGCCTGTCCGTTAGCTTTATCTGGAGAAAGTTAAATTAAAACTGATTGTCCTAAAAGAAAAACAAAGCAATATGTAACATGTTAGAAATTATTAAACCTTGCAAGTATAAAAAGTTTTTATAAAATATAATAAATTATGAACGTTTAATAATAACAATTTCTTGTCTAAACTTCAAATATAAAACAAATACAAAACTTTTGACACCTGATAAAGTGAAATTTTAGACTGCTTCATTAGATAAAGCAATCAGGTTGTGCTTTAATCAGTTTCTTTGTTGAATTAGAAGAAACATACCTTCCAGTCTTAAAATAGTAACGTATTTGTAAAGTTGTCAGTCTAGGGTTTCTGTTTGAACTGATTACACTTGATAAAAATAACAAACCATGACAAATAGTGGGGCTAGGTTTCAGTAATTCACTGAAGAATGTCTCTACCAAGTCTTTGTGGCAAAATGTCTTGTTTGCAGGACAAATGCAGAGTTGAAATAACAACCCATGAATACCACTGGTGAAATGGCTATGTACACAAGGTGAATGCTAAAGTTTTCCCTTGTGAATGGACCTTTTAATCCAGGCATTATCTAGACTCTGAAAAAGTCTTCAGTGGCCTTACGTACAGATTAATGAGAAAATCTGAGACTCGGGAGTTGGGCTATTTGCAGAAACAGTTTTCAAGATTTACTGATGGTTGACAAATGCCATTTAAGCTTTCAAAGCCATCAATATGCTATTGAAAGGGTTTTAGAGGGAAATCCTCCCACTATAGAGAACGAGGACTTTGAAGGATCTCGGTGGAAGCCCTTGGTCTCCCCACCCCTTCAAACCTTTCAGTGGCTTCCTTCAGCATAGAGAGCCCTGAAACGCGTGGCTATGGGAAAGGGGGGGTGGCCCCTTTGAAAGGCGTTTGTATATAACTGAATGTGCCAATCTGCTTTTGTTCAGGCATGAGAACTGAATAGAAGTGTTTCCAGAAAAAGTCTCTTGTGCTCATGATCAGTTTTTCAATGGGCTTTCTGCTAATAGATTTTTAATATGGGAGCTGGAAATGGTGAAATACGAGTTTGAAAATTCCAGTGAATTGAAAAATTGCCCAAGAAAGTCTCTCTGCCCTATAGCATTTGTTAACCATGCGACCATATCCTTCTCTAATAGTGGCTTTCAAAGAAAAGGATCTTCATACATTATACATGTGACAAGACAAATCACCTGAGTTTAATTTTTTTAAACAATGTCCTTTATTCCACAGAAATTTGTGTTTGTATGTTATTTCTTTTCTTTGGTTATTTAAAAATTCATTTCCAAACCATATGCTTTTATATTCAATTATCCATTATGGAATTGAGTTAGGAAAAAAAGATTATGAACCTTAGATGATCATGTTTTGCTAAAGGAGGTTTAATTTAAGATTGGGATGGCTTGAAGTCCTTGTTTTTGCCCATGCTGTTCAGGATCAGCAGGATTCAATATGAAAATTCTTAACAGCTTAATGAAATTGTACAAATGAAAAAGTGGTAGAACCTGCTGCACAGTTCTGGAAAAAGGAATCTCTGGGATCTCTGGTGGCTTTATTCATTAAGTTCTTGAGAGATTTGTGGTTTTCATCAGAATAAATGCCCACAAGATCCCCTCTGTGTTCCTTTTAATAGCAACAGTATTTATGCATGTAAAACTGCGGTGCTGTCTTCCAGTCTGTCACGAGTATGTGAAAGTTGAGATTCAAATGCCAAGGCCATGACTGAGGGGGCATCCTTCACCTCAAATCTTGACATCACTCTCCACATGGGACAGGTGAACAAAGCCAGGATGTGGCTGCTGTAGTCTCTTTATACCTAACCAGTGTGTGGTGTGAAGAAGAACATCATTGTGCATCCCACCAACTCCAAACTCCTCATGAAGGGAAAGGAAGGCTGACTGGATTATGCAGAATCTCAGTGCTTTGACTTTACTTCTGTCCCATATTTCATTTCTGTCTGCACCATTTTCATGCTGGCATCCATTTTGCCACCATTTGGGGAAGGAGAGCAGCAGTAACAGTGTGTGGCAGGTGCTGTCTCATGTGAGGTGACCAGTGGTCATAAGAAGCCAATGTCATGTAGTAGCTGGGTTTTTATCTGTGCTAGTTGCTCATTGCAAAGCAAATGAAGCCTAAAGGAGAGCTCCCAGATTGTCTAAGGCTTCTAGTTCTTAAAAAAGGGTAGTGCATCTTCACCCAGAAATAACTATCTGTTACACCCCACTCCTCTCCACAGGTTAAGGGGAATGTTCGATTCCCTGCAAGTGATGCACGGGAGAAACCAAAATTCTAAGGACGTTCAGTACCAAACTTTTACTTGCAAATTTTAGAACATTAAGGTAAAATAAGGTACTTGACAAATTTTAAATAAACTTAGGCAACTTGAACTTACCCAGATATGGATAGGAGGCACTTACAAGGCATTGACTGGAATTCTTTTGTCTAGCTTAAAATGTATTTTGAGAAGAAATTAGAAGAAGAGAGAAAGAAAGGGTAAGAGTAGAAAGATATTATCACATGTGGATCCAGCAATGAAACTTGATTTTTGCAATTTATATGTCTACTGGTCGAAGTGATGGTCACCGTCTTGGTCTGCCAGGGTGGGGAAAGCCCATAAAACACAAAGTTAAATGGGTTAAGAAATGGTGAGGTTCAAGTGGGAATGCCCAGGTACCTCCTCTGGTGAGGGGCACTGAATTTTACACTATTGGATGCAACTCTGTGGATCATGTGCAGTCTTCTGGTGGAAGGACTGAGAAATGAGTCTGGGGGTGCTTTGCGGGACTTTGATGGTTTATGACACCTAAGACATGACAATTGCCTCTCATTAGAGTAGTTAAGCCAATTATGCCCCATCAGAGGAGATAAACACCTTCAGACCTACATGTGAATGTCCCAGTATCTCTCTCAGAGGGAAGTTCTACACCTCAGCCAGTTGCATAAGGAAGGACATGATAAAAAACACTACCCCACCTCTCAGGATCTGCTGCTTATCAGCCTTTTCCCTTACCTGGCTCAAATCTCAGCTTCTTGCTAAACAAAGGTTGATTTGTGGTGGTCATCCTCTGGTGCTCACACCTGCTTCCCCTGGGCTGTTACCTTGCACACTGTCAGCAAAACACCCACTGTTTCTTGCAAATGGCCAATTGTTTGGGCCTTTGACCATTAACATTTCAGTCTCTCACTCCATCACAATGTAACTTATTCTGAGTAATCCTTCTGGTTTTCTGATGGAGCTGATTGGAAACCTGAACTTGATGTTAAAGAAAAATTGAGCAAAGACTATAAAAAAGAGAGGGTGAGAAGGGAAAAATTAACAGAATCAGCTCATCACTTTGAAAAAACACCAGTATGAAAAGTTAAGTAACAAAAAGCATTGGATCAGACATGACAACCAAAAGAAAACAAAGAAATAATGTAACAGCCAAAAATGTTACACTTTCCACTCCTTAGTGACTCACACGACATCTTGCTTTTAACTCAACAGATTTTAGAAATTATAAAATGGCTGAAAAAATACACTGGAAACTTCCCCGTGAACCAATGAGTACTATATGCACTATTTCAGGCAAGCCAGTGTGCAGTTGCATAATTTCCACAACCATGAAATACTGCCTATTGGGAACTCGTAGGCCTGGGATGATGTCTTCCATCCATGGGGAGTCACTGGGAGTTTTGCTGCCAGCATCAGTGGAGCCAGGTGTTTACCCCCAGGCACTGTTCTAGTGCTGACATTGACTTGTATTAGAGGTTTTAAGACTTTTAAATAACAGGGTAACTGATTGTTTCCAATATTTTTATAATTTGGAATAGAAAAAGAGATCTTAGAAAGTTCATTTTGTGAGCAAAATAGGCAGACCAGACAGGTGCAGTAAGGACACACTATTTCACTGTGCACACAGGTGCAATACAGTTGGCAGCAAGAAGTTTTGTTTTGGCTACTGATGTTTTGTGATATTGTCTCCAGGAAGATCCAAAACTCATATTTGAAGCCTG